GGCACCCAGTTTCCGGGCCAGAGGTGAACTCTCGGGGGCCTCTCCTGCCCCCTCCCCCCGCCGCCCCAACTCGCTTGATTCTCTTGGAAGCCCTGACCCGCCTGGGTCCCACTCCGCCTCTGCCCATACGGTTAGAGCGCACGGCGCCCAGGCGCTCCCGAGCCCGGCGTTTCTTCCTCCCTCTTGTCCGGGTGCCCTCCCCGGCAGGGAAGGAGGGAGGGGCCGCGAGCAGAGCGCCGACTGCCGCCCTGGCTCCAGAAAGCGCTTCTCTCCCCGCTCCCGACCCGCGGCGCCATCGCCAGAAACCCGTCCCAAACGAACTTCCTCCAAACTAGAGGAATAAGTTTCTCCCCGGGCCTGGGAGAAGGAGAAATTGGAGCGAACGAGGGGCGAGCCACAGCCCTGACCCCGGAAAAGTCACCTTCTCCCGCGGCGGCCCTTGGCGATCCCCTTCCACTGCCCCGTTCCCCGGGCCCGTGACGCACGCCGGTATCGCCTGGCCGTGAAAGCGCGGTGCTCTCCGTGCTGCCCCGCCCGGGCCCGAGCCCGGGCCCGGCCCTCGCCCTCTGTCCACAGTCGTCGTCCCGAGGCCCTCCTCGCCCCCCCCCCCGCGCCCGCCCCGCCGGCCTCCGAATCTCACCCCCTCGCCTCTCCCCTTGCCTCTGTCGCCCACAGCTGGACGCCAAGAAGAGTCCATTGGCGCTGCTGGCCCAGACCTGCTCGCAGATCGGCAAGCCCGACCCGCCGCCCTCGTCCAAGCTCAACTCCGTAGCGGCCGCGGCCAACGGGCTGGGAGCAGACAAGGACCCCGGCCGCTCGGCCCCAGGCGCCGGCTCCGCGTCCGCCGCGCTCAAGCAGCTGGGAGACGCCCCGGCCGAGGACAAATCCAGCTTCAAGCCCTACTCCAAGGGCTCCGGCGGTGGCGACTCCCGCAAAGACAGCGGCTCCTCCTCCGTGTCCTCCACCTCCTCCTCGTCCGCCTCGTCCCCGGGAGACAAGGCGGGGTTCAGGGTCCCCAGCGCCGCCTGCCC